ACAAGCAAGCCAAAAGCAAAGTCCATGCACCTCCCACCAACCTCTGCAAAACATCCCACATGGTTTCAGAGATGCAGGTGTAACAAGCCTCAGGACAGGTCTGGAGCCCTGCAGCAACAAGGGCGACAAAGATGCTTCCAAAACTGTTTCCAAGACTGAAACATGCAGGTCAGTATTGTGTAAAAACAATAAAGGAAGCTTCATGAAGGGAAACAATTTTAAAGGGAGATATTGCCCAAAATGAGACTTTTAAGGGAAGAATTTTCTCGTTCCCCTTTTCCATCCTCACATAGTTTTGCACTGAACACCCGCAGATCCCAAGAAGCCTTTGGTTAAACCCCTGACTTTAGGGTCCTGAGGGCAAAGGCTTGCTTGTGTCCCTCCTTCTGAAAGTATAAAGGAAAAAGGGAATGAGAACATGACAATTTTTTTTTTTTTTTTCCCTTGGATAATAGCAGCCGTCTTTAATAGTGCCCCTTGGATCTGCAAGACATGCTTGACCAGACATACCTCTGGAAGAGGTCAGCACTCCTGGGATTAAGAAACTTAGCAACGCTCCAGAGAGGGAGTTGGAAAGTCATGTTTAATGATACTTTGCTGAGAAACTGGGCAAATTTAATTAAAACATCACTTACTCGAACCCAGTGGAACTAATTGAGTGCTCTAATATTCCAACTTTTCATTAATGGGTTACAAAAGAGGGCTGCACTTGTGTGTACAAGGGGGGAGGGGGGGGAGGATATAGAGAAGAGCCTCAGCAAGGCTTCCTGTGCTTCATTTAATATAACCAAGAAACTTCACTGCTGGCAGCGGAGCTTTAATGCAGTTGACTTCTCTCCCCTCCATCACCCCCATCCCCTTGACACACACACTTCACTCCCCCCCAGCACACATCCTCTCCACCCAAGACCTCTCGGAAAGAATAGCTGAATGAGCGAGAGTAGATTTTGCAAAGGAAGGGAAATTGCTTTTTTAATAAGTGGTCTATTCAGAGCTCCTACTTTTCAATAAAGAGAAGGCTGGAGAAGTCTTGGTCTAATTACCTCATCCTTGCGCTAGACAAGCTCGCCCTTTCATTAGCACTTGAGGTCATATCATATAACTTTGTAAGCCATCATGGGCACAACATGTTCAGTGATTATTTCATTGGTGGTGGCAAAATTATGGCTGGCCCATCAAGGTTGTTAAAAACAGAAGTAAAATAATAATTAAATGAGAACTTCTACCAAGAGACACTAAAACTAGGCGGGATAGGATAATGTCACCCTTCCAGAAAGATGCAAATTGTTTGCTAGTGTGACACCATGGAGAAACTGCCGTCTCGACCAGGAGGGAATAGTGTTTGTTGCCAAATAAGTCTATTAAGCACAAGTCTCTTTTTTTTTTTGCTGGGTCTCAAGGGACTATTTATACAATTTGTCATGGTTGGGAGTAATTAGATGGGAAGGGTTATATGTTGCTACGAATCACTGAGAGACCACCAAGCTTGTGCTATATCTTTGATAGATATTCCTCTACCACCATCAAACACACATACCCCCATGCATACACTGTACCTACACCAGCGTGGGCAGGCACAGCTGCAAGCCCTGTAGAAAAGTACTGGAAAAGAAAGTCTCCTTGTCCAATGCCCAGCACAAGCCCAAACAGTCTGTAGCACAGCCAAGGTTTCAGTTCACGCCTGTATGGTTTCACGAGACATAAAATCTGAGGTTTGGTTTGAGGAAAAACAGTGGGTGCTGAGCAGAAACTCACGAGTGCTTGTCTCTACCTCCTGCTCCATCATCAGCTTCCTAAATAACCTGGGAAAAGGCACTCTGTGCCTCAGGTTCCTGCCTGAAATCATCATTTCTCGTGGGGACAGTGAAGACATTAGAGGCTGGAAGGCTATCTTTCTTATTTAATTGCACTCTGTTCCCAAACAGCACAAAGCAAAGATATTTACCCTTCTTCTGTGTGGCTTTGGATTCACATCAAATCAAAAGAATATGATCTATTACCCAAATAAACAAACTAGATTGCTTCAAAGTAGTTTAGACCCTCGTAGTCACGAGGTGAGTATCTCCAGATATGCAAGAGTTGGAAAGTCTGTAAGAATGCAGTCAGCTGATGGGCAACTTCATTGGAGAAAAAAGAGTTGAGGACAGATGTTGAGTTTCATATTTAACTCAGTGTCTTTATCAAGGAAAATGCCAATAATTCAGCCTAGTACTGCATGCTGGGCAACTCTCAACTCCCATCCCAACTCCAAACATCTCTGATTGTCATCTCAATGACACCACGCTGTGCCAATGCTTTAGATCCACATATCTTGACTACACAGACATATGTTCTTCCTGATCATTAACCAACACCCTGATAAAAGCTTCTTCCTGAAAGCGAAATTCCCTTGTTCTCTGCCTGGCTTCTCAGTGCAGCTGTGAGCCTGGTGAGCTGCTTGGCTTGCCTCTCAACCACACTAAGGTACAACTACCCTAGAAACGTAAGCAGAAATCATTTCAACTGCCACTGCAAATAGGCAAGGCAAAGCCGTCAGGCAGCAATACCAGCTTGACAGCACGGCGTGGGTGGACAAAAATAGGAATGCTGGATCACTGACCTGCAGCAAAGGTCTTTGACTTGGATCGCCATGAGGGCTCTCAGTGTCTGGACAACCGTCACAACTGTTACTCAGCTGTTTAGCTGCAGATATTACATTAGTGCTTAGAAACCACTGCCAAAGACCAGGGCCTGACTGTGCCAAGTAAAGTGGAGGCAGAGGATGCAAGAGACTCACTGACATCTCCCATTGCCCTGGGATCTAAATCCCAGTGGGATCAGGAAGAAACTCAGGCATCATGAAGAGATTCCCTCTCTTCAGTTCATCCTTGGAGTTCCTTTAGCTTAAAACCACATGGAGAGTGGAGAGCAGAGCTGACAACCAGGTATGCCTAACCAAAATCCAAGACTGGGTCTCGGCTCCATGTGGGCATCATGTGGGCATCATGTGGTCACATGTGAGCGACTAAGATGATCAGGGGGCTGGAGCACCTCCCCTATGAGGACAGGCTGAGGGAGTTGGGCTTGTTCAGCCTGGAGAAGAGAAGGCTGCGGGGTGACCTCATTGCAGCCTATCAATACCTGAAGGGAACCTACACCCACGAGGGGAGTAAACTCTTCAAAAGGGCTGACAACAGCAGGACTAGGGGAAATGGATCGAAGTTGAAGGAGGGAAGATTTAGGTTGGATGTTAGGGGGAAGTTCTATACAAGGAGAGTGGTTAGGCCCTGGAACGGGCTGCCCAGGGAGGTTGTGGATGCCCCGTCCTTGGATGTGTTTAAGGCCAGGTTGGACAGGGTCCTGGGCAACCTGATCTGAATGTGTGTGTTTGGTGGCCCTGCTAGGCAGGGGGGTTGGAACTACATGATCCTTGAGGTCCCTTCCAACCCGGGTGATTCTGTGATTCTGTGATTCTGTGATCCTCCCTGCAGTAGTGGGATGGAGAACACTGGGAGTTAGATCAAATCCCTTGGGAAAGTTCATCAGTCCCAGCAGTGCTAGGGGGGAGATGGATTTACAAAAGCATTCCCATGGCACCTAAAATTTCATTCGTGTGGTTTCTGATGAGACTCTATTATGTGAATCTGGAAAAGGAGTAGAGCAGAGACCTCATAGCTCTCAACAGCGTGAAATCACAGCCCTCACGGACCACCTTCCCCATACTCTGTTCCAGTTGCTGCACAGCCAAGCCCAAAGAGTCTTTCCTACAGGATATGCCCTCAGAAACAATCAAACACAAGGATTAAAACAGATTTCATCACTCCGCAGAGCCTGTTTCACACGCCAAAGAGCTGCAACAGGAGTTCAGAGGCACTGAGCCTCTTAATCCAGAGGCAGAAAAGCTGTCAGCCAAAGCCAGACACCAAGTAAATCCAGGATATTTCTAACCCTGATCTCAGCGCTGTCTGGGAGCATCTGGTGGTGGGGACAGGGGGAGACTTTTTGCTGGCCAGCACGCACTAGTGGCATTCTTGGGGCATTCAGTGCCCCAACTCCATTGCAATGAATGGCATTTAATGCATATGCACAGGAACAACTGAGCTGGGGTGGTGATTCCTAGAATGCACAACTGGCTGGGCAGCGTTTGCCTGGGAAACTGGAGACCCAGGTCCCCATCTCAGCCTCAACCCTCCATCCAATCACACGGACAATAACAAGGCTTGAAAGCTATTTATAGCCTTACAGTATGTTCCTCTATGAGGTCGTTGCAATGAAACACTGATCCTAGGCACCTGTGCTGGCCAATCTGAGCGATTTTCATGTGCAAGCAGCTCTAGGTTAGGTACCTCCAAGTAATTGATGGGAGAAAGTGGAAAGCCCCTTTCTTTCCCATCTCTTGTTGGGATGAGCCAGCACACAATTTCTCCTTTACAACACTCAGGGCAAAGCCTCATGGGGATTAGCATGGGTTAAAAGAGCAGGAAACCCTCCAGCATAAGGATAGGAGGAAAGAAACAAAACAAAACAGACTGCACACCTGAGTTCTCTCAGCTGCAAACACAGCATCTCTGGGTGGAAGGTCAAAGGGATTTTTAGGACTGGAATCAGTCAGAGAGGAATAGCTCTGCCCTGGTTTCCCAGCAAATATTTGTCCACCAAGTTTTAAAGAAACTTGCCTATGGAGATGCTATGCTATCCATGATCTGCAGCACTGCTTCAAGGAAAGCATCTCTCAATCTCCACCTGCAGTACTGCAGAGTAAATCCTTTCCTGCCCATCATAACTTGGTACAAATTTAGATGACCTGTCTTGCCATCCCCTTATAAGACCCACTTCTCCCTGTGGAAAGCCAGCAATCTTTCTCCTCGTCTCATTTTCCAGATCTGGAAAGTTCCTTTTCTTTCCTTCTGGTCCCTCGCCAGTCATTTGAAGCACAGTGATCAAAACAGGGCATAGACCTAATCAGACTTCACACTTCCTGCAGAAGGAAGGCACCGCACATTTTGCATCCAACGACTCACCTTCATGCCCACGAGGTTATTGTGGAAATCCACCCTGGCTCTCAGGTCCTTGTTGGGCTTCCTCCCCAAGAACTCCTTGACAAACTTGTTGCTGTATTTCAGGTTGTCACCGCAGCCACCCCACTGCCAAGCCTCGCGGTTCTCCAGGTCAGGAGCCTCGTCGCAGGTGCAGCGCTCCATCCGGCCCGCGCTGCACGCTTTGGCCATAGCGTGTGTCAGCCCTGCAGAGGAAATGGCGTAGAGGAAGGCCGTCTCCTTGAAACCTGGAAGGAAAAAAGAGGCCGCTATCATTGTGGCTGGAGCAAGGATTTTATTTCAAAGAAAGGAACCGAGGAACTACGGCAACTGAAGTGAAAATCATGACAAGGTTTGAGCAATGCCATGCTCTGTATCACTGATAGTAGAGAAGACAAGGTGATTCTCTACATGGTAGAGAACAGGGAATGATGGATCATAGAATGGCTAAGGTTGGAAGGGACCTGAAAGTTCACCCAGGCACAAACCCCCATCCAGCACCCCACTGCCATGGGCTGGTTGCCCCCCACCAGGTCAGGCTGCCCAAGGCCCCATCCCACCTGGACCTGAACATCTCAAGGGATGGTGCATCCACACCCTTCTCAGCAGTGCCAGGGCCTCACCATCCTCTGAAGAATTTCTTCCTAGCATCTAACCTAAATTTCCCCTCTTTAAGTTCATTCCCCCTTGTTCTATCACTATTAAACCGTGTAAAATTTCAGTTCCCCTTCTGCTAATAAGCTCTCCTCGAGTTCAAGAAGGCTGCACTGAGGTCTCCCCAGAGTCATCTTGTCTTCAAACTAAATAAGCCCAACTCCCTCAATCTTTCTGCTTAGCAAAGATGCTCCAGCCCTCTGAGCATCTTCCTGGCTCTCCTCTGGACCTGCTCCAACAGCTGTGTTTTTCCTTCCTGGACTGGGAGCCCTGTGCCCAGACACAGTGCTCCAGCTGTACCTCATAAGGGCAGAGAAGAGGGGGACAAATGAGGTGGCACAAACCAGGATTATAAACAAAACCACACATTTGTCGTTACGTGGTTGTCGCTCTGCAATCTCTGCTTGAAAATAGGAGTAGGTAAGCAAGATCTGGACAGTCCATGATGGTGTCATCATCATGGTATGGCAGTACTGCTACTAAGGGGCCACCAAACGGAAGGAACCTAGCACAGATTTCCAGTTTGATGACTGGGGTGGAAATCATGAAGGCTTTCCTCTCCTCCCAGAAAAAAAAAAATCACCACGATTTAATCAGGTCCAACAAAATTGTTAACAAAAGGCACACAGGGGATGGAAAGCAATGAGTAATCAGCCTGTCACCCAAGGCAGTACCTCACAGACCTGAAGAAGCATTTGGACCTCAAACTTTTCATGTACAACCATTTTCTTATACCTCCATGCTCACTTGCAACAGCATCTGCCTCCCCCCAGTGGGTAAACTGAGGCCAAAAGAGACCCATGATTTCAATACAAATGATAAAAGACAGAAATAAAAAAGCAAACATGTCAGTATTTATAGCTCCTCATTCTCCGTCTATGGAAGCAGTAAACGACTGCATATTTGAGATGCAATTCCAGAACAGCTTTGGATCTAACTCAAGAAATCCCCCACTCAAAAATAACACAAGTGGATGGTGACAGTAGTGGATATATCTGTAAACTAGTGTGTCAACCAAGGACATGCAGAGACACTGCCAGGTCATTTTTGGAACTGGTCCTTGGGAGGATCATGATAGTCCAAGTGGGCTCATGGGGCACTATCCTGGCCCACCCCCAGAGCCTGCCTTCCCATAGAACAATTGGATGCACAGGGTAGAACTTCAGCAGAAGAAAAAGGAAAGTCCAGTCCTGGAGAAAGAGGTCCTGTTTTGGCTCAAAACACATTGCGTTAGAAATTGTCCAGCACTCCTACTGTTCACCTGGAAAAGAGCAGAAACCCTTTCCCTCTCAGGGAGGAAGACTGAAATAAAACAGGATTGACCCCACACTTGCTGGGGACACAGAAAAGAGTGATTAGCTTTGAGAAAGCAAATTTTTTTTTCTCCCATTCGTTTTCCCCCTTGAAGTTACACCATGTCCTCCAGCACACCAGAAACATCTTCAGCATCACAAACTGTCTCAGTGAGGGCAGTTAAGGAATTGTTTATTTAATTCAAACCACAAAAACCTGTGGATTTGAGGACCATCAAACTCTGGGCAGAAAACACCATCTATGCAGCTCCCATCTTTTATTGGCTGATTCAACTTTTTCTCAGCTAGGTGCTAGGAATGCCTAAGAGTGATGCTACCAAGCTTCTGTGCTTGCAAGTTGTAGAACTGCTCTCCTTCCACTACCACTACTGCTCATGCTGCAAAATGGAGAGGTAGCAGCACACTAGCAGAAAGTCCCTGATGGAGCAGTGCAAAGAGCCAGGCGTTGTGAGCCTGAGCTGCTGCAATTAGCAGCAAAGAGCCAGGCGTCAGCCTGAGTTAGCAGCTAACACGGATCCACAATCCGCACCAAGGCCTCCCAGTTGGGAGCGCTGACCGTGCAACCTGCCACCACACTGCATACTGGGTTTGACACGGAGCCAGGCTTCCCTCTGCCAATCCCCTCATCAGCCTCAGCTCTCCTCCTCCCCTTCTCCATCACCGAAAGCCCACAGATGCCCAGTGCCCATCAGCGCGGGTATCATCTCGCCCACAGGCAGCTCAGGCAGCTCCCAAGCAAGTCCATGTGACATTTGGCTCTGGCCAGATTTAAAGCCATCTCCGCCGTGCACTATTTGATTGCACCGAGATATGCTGTAACAAGATAATGAGCTTTAAATCAATGCAGGCATTCTGGTGCATCGACAGCCTGCCATCCGCAGCTATCCCCTTTCAGCCCTTTCCAAAATCGTTCACGAGAATCCGAACAGGATAACGAGTCCCTTGAACAATCTCCTGTTATTTTAAGAAACGGGCCGCATCAGCCCAAACTGCAAACCAGCAGCTGGGCTGTGCTGAGGACCGAGAGGAACAATGGAGGGAGAAAGTTTTCTTAAGTAAAACATTTGTGGTTATGTTGTTGTTTTTTGTTTTTGTTTTTTTCTTTATTTTCCTCTCTGTGAAGTTCTGGAGGAAAAAAGAAAACATTCCCCCACTGATATATTGGAATAGCCGTGTCATAGTGGGTTATAGCCATACCCCTTTGCCCTGGGGGTATCGCTCGTTGCAATGCTGAACCAGGAACCAGCAGCTCCTGGAGAGGAGGAGAAAGATTTACAGGGCTGTGAGCTGTGCTCTGGGAACAACACCTGAAGGATTTACAGCATCGGTGGCGGGCTGAGATGCTGCAGGGGCATAAAGCATGGAAGAATGAGACAGCAGGCCGAGCTCTGCAACCCTCAGTGCTACCATTTATTAAATGGTGTCCTGACAAGGAGCTGGGATGGTTTGCAGCAGGGTTTTCCAGCAGCAAAATTCCAGGCTGCTCTGGAATACCCCTTCCCCTCGCTGAGGGCACATCTGAAGGAGCAAGCTGTGGCCTCCAGGTGTCAGCATGAGAAAGTGCTTGGGTTTCCCAAGGCGCCACTAATCCAGGGACTCCTCTGGCATGCAGAGATATTTTTAAACGTCTTGCAGCTCTGGCTGCACCTCTTGGGTTTCATAAGGACGCTCCTTGTTTCCATCGCAGTCGGTGACAGTGCATTAGTTGAGCCCTAGAGCTTCTGGATGGCTCCTTCCCATTTCTTAGGGAACGAGGGAGCACTGCAGAGCTCCATATTCATCTTTGAGCATGTCAGACTCTGGGTCTCTAGGTCCAGTCACTGAAGGCGAGACTTTCTGGGAGTCACTGAAGCCCTCGAGTTCCAGGGAAGCCACCTGTGAAGTGGGCCTACTGCATGGTTAGCTTCAGTCCAGCAATAAGAACTGGACTTTGGCAGAAGAATTGGAACTCAATGATTTTTGAGGTTCCTTCCAATCCAAGCTATTCTGATTCCATTGTATGATTTCATTGAGAGGCTGCAAGAGAGCTGGGCTACAAAAGGCAGTGCAAAGGAAACAGACAGAACACACCACCTGCTCCTCTAATACCCTTCATCAGCTTCTGGTCATCTCCACCAGGAAGCAGTGTGGGCATCACTCACTGCTCACAGCCAGGGAGCTTTTGCACAGGTAGAGCAGAGCAGGGCATGGAAGCATTGAGTTTGTGCCTTGCATCATGACCCCCCCACCACCACCATTTTGTCTTTATTCCTTTACCAAAGCATTTTCCCACTTTCTTTCTTGAATGGGAGAAATAAAATAGTTTTTAAAACATAATAAAAAAAAAAAAAAAAAGACAACACAGCTTTGGGACCTTAAATCTCTTCTCTTCTCCTACAGCAATGGCTCAACTTCCAGCAGAAGCGAGGAGCACACAGAGCTTCTGGCTGCAGACGTATGAACAAACATCTCCAGCCTCCACACAGAGGAGCTGTGGTCAGTGATGGGAGGCAGGCAGAGGTTCCTTTGATACGAGCACATCAATCACAGCCACAGACTGAACAGATGAGCTATGCCTGGCTTTGTCTTTACCTTCCACAAAGGTTAGGCTTATTTAGTTTGGAGAAGAGAAGGCTCCAGGGAGATCTATTTGCAGCCTTCCCGAACCCAAAGGGAGCTTATTAGCAGGAGGGGAACTGAAATTTTACATGGTTTAATTGTGATAGAACAAGGGGGAATGAATTTAAACTAAAAGAGGGGAAATTTAGGTTAGATGCTAGGAAGAAATTCTTTATTTAGAGGGCGGTGAGGCCCTGGCACTGCTGCTGAGAGAGGGTGTGGATGCCTCATCCCTGGAGGTGCTCAAGGCCAGGTTGGATGGGGCCCTGGGCAGCCTGATCAGGTGGGAGGGAACCTGTTCCATGGCAGAGGGGTTGGAACAGGATGATCTTTCAGGTCCCTTCCAACTCAAACCATCGTATGATTCTATGAAGCTCTTTTTAGAGCCCTGAGGAGAGCACTCTCCAATGACATGAGGATGACTGCTGTGCAAAATGGCAGGGAAGCCCACCAGCGCAGGAGGTACCAGCAGCCCCAAGCAAACCCCCATCCCACTTACCTCTCTTTAGCAAGCTGGCCCGGTAGCGGCCCTCCAGGGTGCAATTCCAACGCTCAAAGCGAAACTGGTACTGGCACTCCAGTGCACTCATGCTGATGGCCTCCATCAGGGTCTCTGCCACGCCGGGGTCCCGCCGGCACATCCTGCGCTGCTTCTTCTCCAGCTTCAGGCGGTCACAGACTTTGTAGTGGGCTTTGACGGCGGCTTCCTCCATTTCTGAGGTCAGAGGGAGGATGGTCAGGGGTTCGTTGCCCGTCAGCCTGCAGAGGAACAGAGGGGTAAAGGGTGAGAACGAGCTGAGCACCCACTGGGATGCAGTGGGAGAGAAGAGATTTTACAGCAAGGCTCTCTGCAGTCTATGCTCGACAGGGAGGTAAGAAGCAATACATGGATTTATTTTCTCCACGGAGCTTGTTTGGATGAAAGACCTTGGCAATCGCCAAGTCTGTCAAACTCAAAATTGCCAAAGGACAGTTCATTTAAAACTGAAATAGGGAAAAAATTACAGAAGGTACATAAGTGCATGAATTCAGGAAACTAGCAAGAAGGCAAGAACACTGCAGCTACTCTCTTGTGCACTAAAAAAGAAAATAGTCATTTCAGGGCATCAAGCAGAGCCAGAACCAGCTTGGGAAGGTGACTTGTCCCACCAGACCCCAGGAGACACACCAAGAGAGCACGTACAGCCACTCCACCCTAAGCAGAAGAACAGGAGAGATCCCTACACAAAATTCAGTCACGGATCGAGGCTTGCAAGCAGGATACACTTTGAGAGACGACGATGCCAAAAGGTTTTAACAAGGAAGCATGAGCTCAACGCCTACAAAATGACCTGAAGAAATTCAGAAAGACGTGTCCTTCTCTTCTCCCCTGCACAAGGTTTCCAAATGTGCAACAAAAGAAGCCAGCGTACTGTTCCCGGTGTCAAGTGACGAGCTGCTGGAAAAGGACCAGGCTGGCATCGGCCCTGGGGAGCAGGAAGGCTGCAGGAACATCTGCTGGGCTCAGCAGTGGGTTGCTGGCTGGGCTGTCTGCACCCCACTCTCCTGGCTCTGCCCTATTCCGGCCAGATGCCAGTGCATGCAGTCAATGGGGATAACTAAAAAAGGTTTCTGAAGAACCTGAAGACACATTTCCCCAGCCAAAATGGAAGGAAGAAGTGCTTAAAGCCAGAATTAAAACATGCTGTATGCAATGCAGCCCTGTGCAGATGGGCATGTGCAGCGAGCATAGACCAAGACCCATCAGGAGAAACAAGGTGGCAGGCATGGGAGCAGAGCACACACTCATCACCTTCACCAAACACTGAGTGACCACGGAAATGCTTAAAAACCCTCAAGAACAGCAGCTTGATGTTCCTTTTCCAATGAGGAATCGTCTATAATTAACAGGATGCATCCTGCCAGGAAGGCAATCCCACGAGCCATGCACCTATGGTGCCTTGATTCCCAAACCTCCCATAAACAGCTGGCACTGACCTGAGCCACAGCCAAGCAACGTGTGGTACAGCTGACAATTATTCCTGATCGTTTAATGAGGTGATTTAACATAAAATCAAGATAGAAACCAAAAAAATGAAGAGTCAAAGTGATTTGTGGGAAAGACGACAAAGGAGTGTGACCTATGCAAATTTCCCCCCAAAAAAGTTTTTTCCCCCCAAAAAATCTGTTCCTAGAAAGATAAAGGCACTGACAAATATTAACCCTCACATTTTTGCTCTGCACTGTGTGGACTCAGGCTTGAGTGCTGCCCAAGGACTTGGGACATCACCTGGCCCTGGTGGCCTCATTAACCACTTATGCTTATGAGAGAGGTGGCTCGATCCAAGCTTTGCAGTAGTAAATGCCTGTAACAAAATCTCCAAGATATTCATTCCTGGCCCTCATCAATTCTTTTCCCCCAAAGGTTCAATCCTACAAGCTTTCCTAGTTGGTGTAAGGGATATATATCCTCTGCTGGCAGAGAAGAGAAGACATAACCCATTTTCTACCTCTCTTTCACCTTTCCAACTGAGCTGGTACTGGTGAGCAAAATGTCCTGGAAAGCACAAGCTCCATGTATCATGTAGAAGACACGGGGAGTGATACAGGAGCTGATCCTACAGGCAAGGTTTTGCACAGCAACCAGCAGTTTGGAGCCCCTTTACATTCTTCCCATTTGATGTTTGCCTTTGAAATACTTCAAGTCATTGATTTCTTAAAAACAATCACATGAAGGCTGCGAATTGGAACAGACCTGAGAGATCATCCAGTTCCAACTCCCCTGCTATGGGCAGGGTTGTCTCCCATCAGATCATGCTGCCAACCTGGCTTTGGGCACCTCCAGAGATGGGGCAGCCACAGCTCTCTGAGCAGCACTGTCAGGGGTCCCAGTAAGAGTCAGCCAAATAACAAAATGAAGAGTCTGGAACAAGGAGAAGGTAGAAAACAGGATTCATTGTGCTGCACAAAGCCAGAGGACAGGGCTCTGACTCCTGCTTTTGATTTGCAGGTGGAAAGCCATGGAAAACAATAGGAAATGGAAACATTAAATGGGATGTTGCTGACAATATGCCATTTTCACTGTGCAGAAGCACAGTGCAGAGGCTTGGGTGAAAGTTCATCAGTTTTGATAAACAGGATAACGCAGGCAACACCATATAAGCTGCAAACATTGCGCCAGCATCTCCACTTCCAAACTCCCTCTTCACCCTTGCCTGGGACAACATAGAGACACCACACCAACACGATGGATAGCAGAGCACTTCTCCCACCTGCTCAGCCTGCTTCCTGACCCAATTCTGCACTGAGGAGCATGCTACCTTCAGTCCTCATCCACCACAGAAAACAGACATCAAAAACCAAATGGGTGAGAAAGAAGCCACACATCAGTAGTAAACAAGCACAGGCAGAGCTGGTGGCCCCACCTGAAACACTGCCTCGGAGCTGCCACTGCATGGAACCTTTGTAATCCCATAAAGCCCTTTTATGCAACCTAGGCTGAGTGAGGTCCCGTAAGGCAACGGTGTCAGCGTTGGATGCTTTCTCAGCTCCTCACAAAGGCTGAGCTGTTCCTTCCAAGAAAATCGTTCAGGATGGGGGAAAAAGGGGCTATTTGTTTATTTAATATATTTTTTATTGCTCATCCAGTCTACAACTTCTGTTGTTAGAAAGATAGCCAGCACTCTGCTCTATTGCATTGGATTGAGAAGGCTGAGCATCAGATGAAGGTATGTTTGTCCACCAGGAACCTGGAGAGAGACCAAACAGCCAATTGCTCACAACCCAGGAAGCTTTAACTCTGTGTAAGTTAACTTTGGTCTCCGTGAGGGCTGCAGGGTAAAATTGAGATTTGGTACTCTTTTTCTGTGCACCTCACCTGCCTTCTGCTCTGAGCATGCCTGCACAATCCATCCATACCTCAGGAAGGACCTCGTTGCCCAGTCCCACATCACTCAGCTCAGGGGAACTTTGCCAACATCATTCTCCTTCCAAACTCCTTCCAGTTCAATCCCTCACTGCTTTGAAGTCCAGAAACCAGAAGTTTATTATCCCAGCTGTAAACTGCAAGAACTACTGGGTTTGCACTAATACTGCTGGTGGCATTCATCTGCTTTGGTCATGCACTTTATTAGGACTCACTGCCCTTCTCCAAAGATCCTATTTTCAGTTCATTTTGGAAGGCTCTTCATTGCACCAGCTCATTCTTTTATACGTATCCCTGTATTTTCTCTTACGTTACGGGGTCTTCCCTGGTGGGAATTTGAGGGAGACAAATCAGAGACACGGAGCCTGCACAGATCTGTGAGAGCACTCTTATTTTTGACACGCTCAAGAGTTTCCTCTGCAATTGCCGCCAGCAACATGAGCCAAGGTGAGCTGCGAGGAAACGCCTCTGCTATACCCGCCCGGAATGACAGCCCTGCTGAAATATTGCATTCCTACCCTGCAGCTTCCTTCTCTGCCAGGAGATTTATCTTCGGTACATCTGTACAAGGCCCCAGTTGATTTTATTTTCAGTTCTTCCTTGAATGTTTTTCCTGCGGTATTGCACCTCTTCCGATCCTTGTTCTACTCTATCATCTCTTTCTTTTCTTCTAACAATACGGGAGTAGGTTTTGAGAAGCTGAGAAGTAGCATGCATTAATCCTCTTCACTGCAATTCCAAAATTGATGACTCTACAACTCAAGGAGCCAGACTGAGTTATGCAGGACTCCAGGCACGTATTGCTGCTTCTTCTACCCACCAACCTACAAACCCCCATTCTCTCTCCCACTGCCATTATTCCACACTACAACAAAGCTTTCCTGAGTTGGCCTACCATGCTCCCTCCCCATCCCACAAAGGCCAATGGCTGCTTGAAGAGCAAGAGGTCAGAAGTCCAGGCAAACTAAGAGTGGTTGATCACCGAAGAATCAACTCTTCAGTCAAATATCTCATTCTAGCTTGTGTGGGTCTGTTTGATTTTTTTTGTTTGTTTGTTTTTACAGTTCCACAATGCCTGCACCATAGCTCAACATTTTCCTGTGCACCAAAGTCAGAGCTAAGCATTTTTGCTGCAACATACAGTGCTTACCTGCGTTCATACATTCACATCCACTGCCACCTCATCTTTAGATTACAGAATCAAAACCCATACACACTAGTTTCAAAATCCACTGCAATTCTCCAAGCTACAGTGCAGGTTTCCTACACTGGTTGAAGTACACACACACAGAAATCCCATATCCCATGGAACCCTTCAAAAAAAAAACAAAACAAAAACAAAAAAAACACTCAAGGTATTCTCCTTGGATCCAAGGATTTTATACTACTTTTCTGAAAGAGTGGTCAGGCATTGGAATGGGCTGCCCAAGCAGGTGGTGGAGTCACTGACCCTGGAGGTGTTCAACGAACATTTGGATGTTGTGTTTTAGAGAAAACTATTGGTGATGGATGGATGGTTGGATTGGATGATCTTGTAGATCTTTTCCAACCTTGGTGTTTCTGTGATTTTTCAGCTGCTACACCTCAGAATGAATTATATTCCATCACAAAGATCGACTGATCATAGAAGTATTTGCTTCTTTTAGCTCAGCCTGATCATCAGCTTCCCTAATCCTGACACTTTTCAAGATTTCTTCTCACCATCCACAGATCGAATTCCTTTATGCACATGCTAATCCTTTTCCTTCCAAGCTATTTCCAACCTCCTCACCACTCTGTGTGTGTGCACCTCTCCTTTTCTCCTCCCCACACCATTCTCCACAAACAATGGTGCCTTGCTGTTGGAGACCATTGA